TTTATGACATAAAAAATGTGATCCCCCTGCTGAGTAGTTCTGTAATGTGGTATCCCTCATACATCCCTCCCCTTCAAACACTAGACATGACCGAGGAGAAAACACCAAACACCCATTACAGTGAACATTAGCTGATGTTTCTCGTTTAGTCAGTGTTGAAAATGCTCTCTTGTTTTTTCTGCTTTCATTTATTATGCTTACTTCATTATTTGTAACATCCGTAAATGGTGTTGCAGATGTTAAATATATGTAATTGCTTAAAATTAGGACTGTCTTGATTCAATCAATAAAACTAAAAATCTTTTATAAATGAAAATATTTCATGAGTCAATTGTATGGTGGAGCTGAGATCTATGGACGAGGATAAGAACAAGAAAATAAAGTTATCTTAAGTAGCAATAATATTTATTACAAATGTATTACATACTTGTTTAGCGGAATACTTTTAGTGTTTTAAATAAATTAAAGTAGGTTAGAAATGTTTGGTTTGCTGTTATTTATTTATTTTTATTTAATAAATGTGTAATCCAGGACTATTCAATTGGCGGCCCGCCAGTCATCTTCATGCACATGTGTACACGCAGGTCGCACATACGCCTTCAATTGTTTTTGCACTAATTAGTTTGTCCACAAAGTGGCTACACTGGCCCGGGCCATTGTTTCACAGCCGAAAAGGAAGAGACGCAACAACAACAATCTACCGGTGACCGAACATCAACAGCTTGCATGAGGGGGTTATGAGATATCCACAACTCTAGTTTAAACGAGTATAAAGACAGTGGTATCACTCATAACTTCTGGACAGAAAAAGCACAGACACTAGACGATGATGGATTTGCAAATGGAGTATAGTTTGAAAGTCTCTTTACTTGCTGTTCGTATGCTGTACGCATACGCTGAGCCGCTTCAGACAGCGCACTAGTAGCGCTTCAACGGACAAAAACGCACATAATGATGATGAAATACGACGAGTGACCTCGTGAACACGGTCTTAAATAAGTTATAAGGTCCATAATGACTAAAGAGTTGGGAGAAAACCAGATGAGTGTCAGATCCGCGTCGTACATCAGGTTTTAAAGAGGCAGCGCTGCTTTTTGAATGGCTATAATTAATGGCTAAAATTGAGGGAAAATAGGCCTAATGCCGCAAAATGTTTACAAACATTATAATAAACAATGTAAACATAGCTAGGCTATTTTAGTTCCCCTCACTCGACAACAAATCCTTTTTAATTTAACAGTATTTAGAAAAGAGCAAGAATTAAAAATATAAGAAGCTATAGCAATAGAAACGACAAGCCAAAATGAATTAATTTAGGCTAAAACGAAACGAAATGAAACCTACGTTGGGTCTCTCATTCGACACAAAATCAAATGTTTCCGTATTCACGATGTATTTGAATGCCAAAATATTATTTGTTATGTACTTCACTCGTGTTGCAATATCCAGGTAAAACAAAATGATTTACATCACGGCAGTACGTTGATAACGGTTAACGGCACAGATTTTACTATACATATTTAAACTGAGCAGTGTGTTTTTTTCCCATATGTTTGACTGACTGTATTTTATTATGATAATGAACAGGCTGCATTGCAGCGTTAATTTTGACAGCAAATTTTGATTTAGTTTTAGTCGTAGTCTTTTGACTAAAATGCCATTTAGTTTTAGTAAAATTTTTGTCATCTGAATTGTTTTTAGT